TTGTACGTAGGGTCGCTATGAGTCGCAAGCTATTCGACGGCATATAACAATCACCACCACCTTGGATTTAGGGAACCTTGGTGGCCTAGTGGGTAAGAAATTCCACTGCCAAACCAAAGGCAGGAGGTTCTAACTTACCAGATGCTCCTCAGGAGAAAGTGGACAGTCTCCTCGGGTGCAGTCAGCTGTGAGTGGTTCTGACTCCACGGCCTATACCAACAACAGCAACAGCCTGAATTTAAGAAGCATTATAGTGCTGCAGTTAAGCAGTTGGATGCGAAGTAACTGGCCAGTGGGTTTGAACCTACCAACTGTTCCACAGGAGAGAGACGTGGTAATCTGCTTCTAGAAAGGTTACAGCCTTGGACACACTATCGGACTCTTCTGCTCTGTCCTATCAGACCAGGATGAGGCAGAATTGACTAAATGGCTTAGGGATTTTTGGTTTTTAAGTTGGTGTTTAGAGTACCGTCCTTTGAGGTCAGTGTTGAAAGTGTCAAGTTTGGATTGTCCATTGCATTCTTTTAATGCACCTCTTAAGATGTGTGAGATTTCTTTTTGGCCACTGTGAAAATATTAGAATATGAACCAAATGAAGGAAAAACCCCCAAACATAATCCAGATAAGTGCAGGGAGACCTCACAATCAGAATGTCGCAGCAAAGGCCCCTGGCTCCGTGTGTCTCACTGGCTCCGCCTGCTTCACTGGCCCCGTGTGTCTCACTGTGCGTCCTCTTCCTCAGGGCCGCTGCTACAATGGAGAGTGCAAGACCAGGGACAACCAGTGCCAGTACATCTGGGGATCAAGTAGGTCCTGTGCTCCTGCCCTCCGCTGGGTGACTTGGTTTCCCCGTAATGCTCTTTCTCACTACCAGTGTTGTGGAAGGAAAGGCTCAGCCTGGAAAATGTTTTCTTTTGTTGTTTCTTAAAAGTTTCATTTATATTTTTTATTATTATTATAGTTTATTTACAAAATTTGCATACATATTTTCCAGAACATATTCTTCCAATATCCCTTACCCCACCACCCATCAAATTGTACAACCCCATGACTAATTCCCCCACCTCTGAACATCCTCAGCCCTCTGCTTCCAACCCCCCCCCTTGGATCCTTATATTCATTCTATAATAGTGGTTTTATGCAATAATTGTCCTTGTGGAACTGAGTTGCTTCACTCAGCATAATGCTCTCCAGTCCCTCACAAGTTAGATAATAATTTACAAAATGTCTCCTGTATGCTACATAGTATTTTCTTTTGTTTTAAAGCCAGTTTAGAAAAGGGTTCCTAGAATTGATAGAAGTATGAAACTCAGTCACAAAGCCTAAGTAAACCCTTGGGTTCAAATTCAGTGACTCTGGCTGTGAAGAAGGGTGTCATATCCACCTGCAAAGATTAGACTTAGAGTACAGCCATCATGTTTAATATCCAATTATATGCACCATTTAGTATCAATCTACCCCACTTAATTAGCCTTGTAATCCCCCTCCACCACCAATTACCAGACTTCTTGTTGTTATGTGCCATTGAATCTTCTGCAACTCATAGCAACCTGATGTACACTTATTTTTAAAATTAAGTGTACTTCCGTAATAGTTTGTCTCTGGAAACCCTATGAACCTGGAGAGAGGATGAAAGACACAAGCGTTGAGGACTCTCCTTCATAGGGTCGCTATGAGTCTCCTGTGACTCAACGGCACTTAACAACTCTTTTTGAAGGAAAAATGCACATAGTTCCTGAAGCACTGACAGTTACAACTTAGGTGTATGGATGGCCAAGATTTCCAGGACATTCCCTACCTGGTGGTATATAGATTCTCTGCCTGACTTGTGCAGTGCCTTCCTAGAACATTAGTTGATGAAAGAAAGGCTGGAAAAGAGAGAAATAGTTCTGCCTTTCTGGCTAAGGCTGGGTCACCCAAAGGAAAAGAAAGTACACAAATGGAGAACAGAGTTCCTGGCACAAAGGATGCCAGTGTTTGACAAATATCCTTTAACAGATAGATTCCCATTTTGAACTTCAGTTTTGACAAGGCAAAGATAATAGAGACATTTTTATATTATTAAACATTTAAATATCAAAAGCCAAGTGCCAACATAAGGTATCAGTAGGCTAAGACTTTACAATAACTCCAGAAATAAAACAGACTTAACAATGTTTATTAGCTTTATAAGCAACAAGAACAGCACATATCTGAGGACTCTTTGTTCAAGGACTGATAATACTTTCAGAGTACATTAGTGGCATTTCCTTTTCATTAATTGAGGAAAGTTAAGAGAGTGATATAATGTTCTTTTAATAGTCACAAATTCATGTTACAGATGGACATTCCCACTTTCAGCCTTAACCATGCAAGCAAGAATCAAAAAGAAATTTTTCTGTGGTTAAAAACCAAAAAAATCCAAACAGTATTGTGTTGGAATTGTTTTGAATCAACTTTCAAGACCCAGTCATTCTGTTTTCAGGGATTTTGCAGTGTATTTGTTTGACATTGAATCTATAAGTCAGCCCTCTAGTATTTATACTGTGGCATTAACAAATGCTACAAATCAGATTCTGTTTCTCCTCCCTCCCCCAGGCAGTCGTTAAATATTTATCAGCATACTACTGGATATAGATAACAAAAGAAACTGAAATATATTTTTTCCTCTTGCCCATCTCCAAAAGAGGCTGCAGGGTCTGACAAGTTCTGTTACGAGAAGTTAAATACAGAAGGCACTGAGAAGGGGAACTGTGGAAAGGATGGAGACCGGTGGGTCCAGTGCAGCAAACAGTGAGTAATCACTCTGTTCCGTAATTACAGGGCTTGGAAACTCTGAGTAAAATTAAGCACAAAAGAGATGTCACTGTTGTTATTTTTCAAATGTTCAACAATTTAAAAATTTAAATTAAACATTTTAAAATTGTGTTGTTACAGTAGTAACATTCGTAATTGTTGTTGCATTTGTATATCTAGAGGTCAGATTATTGTTGTTAGGTGCTGTCAAGTCGATTCTGACTCATAGCAACTGTGTGAGCAACAGATTAAAATTGTGCCCTAGCTTTCGTGTTCTGCACAATCTCTGCCACACTCAAGCCCATTGTTGAAGATGCTGTGTCAAAAGGTCAAGGAGGCCAAATAGTCATGGACTTATCTTTGGTACAGATTTACACTTTTCCTGTCAAATTTTTAAAATTTCTCACACAGTTGGTGATGTTTTATTTTACATTTTTATTTTATTTTGGTTTACATACAAAATTTGTATACTAGTATGATTAAAAAAAAAACTCCATAAACAAACATACAAAAACTCATATACATTGTATTTCACACTTCATTCACATAGCATTTCATACGGTCATTCTCATACATTGTGTTTTATAAAATTAATCACCATTGAACTATGCCCTGTCATTAACCTGTCTTTTCAGGTCTCATCCATCAGATCTTTCCTATTTCCTTTATCCTCTCCCTCAACCAACCAAATTGTGTGACCCTGTGATATCCGCCCTGCCCACCCTCACCCCTCTCTGCTCGCTCTCACCCCTCTGCTCACATCTCTTCTGTCTTTGGGCCCCCAAACACATTTTACTAGTTACCCTTCTATTTTTACAATACTGGTCTTATGCAGTATTTGGCCTTAAGAGACTGAGTTAGTTCACTAAGCATAATGCTCTCCAGTCCCTCCCAAGTTATGTAGTGTTTTTCAAAATTGTTGTTCCTAAGTGCTGCATAGTATTCTTTGATGATAGTTTTAAGTGATACTTTGCCAAAATACTTTAATAGCAAGTTTTAATTTTTCTGTTTTGATAGGAAAGATAACCTTCAAATGAACTATCTGCAGAATTTAACAGGCAAAGCATAGAGGTCCTGTGTGAATAACAATGTTTATGAACGTTATGAATTCTGTATGTAAATCAGTATAAATAAAATGAAACAAAAAACCCAAACATACAGATTTTATGGAAAATATGTCCAGCATATATTTGTGAAAAAATCCTCAAAATGAAATAATGTATGTTTTTCACTTTGAAAAATGAAAGGGAAATAATATGTTTTTTATCATTTGATGAGTTGTTGCTGTTTTTGTTGTTAAGTGCTGGTTAGTCTAGCACAACCCTATGAACAAAAGACCTGAACCCTGTTCTACAACTATCACCATTTCTCTAAGTTCATAGAGTTTCCAGACTCAGTTGTTTAGAAAGCAGGTTCCACACCTGCTTCCAAATTTGTCTTAATCTGGGAGCTCCACAAAACACTGTCCACCATGAGTAACCCTTATGGTATTTGACACACCAGTGGGACAGCATTCAGCATCACAGCAACCCCAGATTAGCTCTGTACAGCAAATTGACTGACCAGTGCTGTACTGGTTGGAAGAATATTAGTCCCAAAGACAGTTAACACCAGGCCTGAGGTCCCACCTGACTTTTAAATACCAAGGCCCTCCCCCAGGTCCTGTAGACTCTAAATAAGAGGCTTCCTGTCCACAGCTCATTTGATGAGTACAATGCCATTTAACTGAATTAGGTATGTAGGGTATTCATCAGAAATTAATTTTGCACAAAGCACCTATTAGGGCATAGTTTAAGGCGCCTTGGTGGCCCATTGTAAAACATTTGGCTGCTAACTGTAAAGCTGACAGTTCAAGGCTTAAAAGAAGCTCCTTGGGAGAAAGACCTGACATTCTAGCACAATAAAGATTACAGCTGAGAAAACTCTGTGGGATAGTTCTGCTCTGCTGTGTGGAAAAGCTGTGAGTCAGAACTGACTTGACAGTAACAAGAGTACAGATCTGAGCTCTCTTACCTCAAGAGAGCTCTCTTGCTTCTCAGAGTACATTAGCAACATTTCCTCCTTTTTAGTTGAGGAAAGTTAGAATTCTAAGACTTAAGAGTTACTTAAGGTTAATTCAATCACTTGGATCTATGGGACCATCAAATTATAGACAGAAACCCAAACCCATTACTGTTGAGTCATTTATTATTCATAGAGACTCTTAGAGAAGGAGTAGAGCTGCCCTATAGGGTTTCTGAGGCCATAAATCTTTCTGAGAATCAACTGCCACATCTTTTCCCACTCAGCACACCTTCTTGCCTCTCACTGAAGTGAAGAACTTTCTGACAATTTTGAAGGAGAGTAGGATTTAAGGGAAGTTTTCTTTTTCTACTTACTTATCTCTCTATTTTATGAAGCTTTACAAATCCTTGTAGTCTCTGGTGGTGAATGAAGCCTTACAAAGAAAGAAATCCCTGATCACGTTTTCTTCAAGTTAAACCAAAATAAGAACAGAAAAATTTGCATCTGATATTTCTGTTTCTTGTTAACTTTTAAAAATGTTTGAGAGGTATTGAGTTGGGGCATTATAAAACATACTAGCCACCAGTCAGTTTAGGAAAATTACCACATGTTTTAATTTTTTTTTTTAATTGTAACATATAGCATATAAACTTGCATGGCCTAATCGGTGATGAGTTGTGCTATGCTGCTGGCCCAGAGGCATTCTGCGCTGGTTGTCTGAATTCACCAACAGCTCCTTGGGGTATAAATAGCAGTCTCCTGTCAGTACAATTCGCAACCTCGGAAATTGCTGTAAGGCAGAACCAATTTGACAGGAATGATCTGAGTAAGGAAAAAAAGAGAATAATACATAAATACACAAGCAAATAATTATGAAGTAATAAATAGATAATAAATGTAATTTACATATATTAATAACTATAATTATGATGTGAACATCCATACAATCCACATCTAGGCTAAGGATTAATGCGGCAGCATCCCAGAAATGTGTCCTGGTCCTCTCCATCACAGTTCTTGCCCTCACCGCCTGGAGATGCCACCATCCTGGCAATTGCTTCCTTGATTTTCTTGAGTTTTACTGTCTGAATTTTTTCTCTAAACAATGTATTTTCCCAGAAGTCTACTTAGCTTTACATGAAAGGAATCATACAGCATATGTTATTTTGGATTTTGCTCCAAAAGTTCAGCAGTTTGAAGAGTCTTTTCTATTATAGATAGTTATCTTTTCATTCATACTCATACGAATAGACCATGATTTACTTGTCCACTTAATTTTGATGGACATTTGTTTGTTTTCATATTTTGGTTATTACAAACTGTACTGATGTGAAAATTCTTCATGGTATTCCTGCAAATGTTGTTGAGCATTTAAACACTCCTCTAGGACCTGCACCTAAAAGAAAAATTGCTAGATCAAAAGAGATTTATGAGTTTGTTAGTGTAACTAGATGACACAAATATCTTTTTTCAAAGCTTGTGAATTAGTTTATATGGCAGTAATACACATGTAAAAACTGTTCCTTACCACATTTTTACCAATACTTGATATTATCAAACTTTTTACTTTTTCTATCCTAGTGGATATAAACAGCTGTATTATTGTGCTGTTAATTTGCGTTTACCTTGCTACCAGAAAGGCTTAACCTGTTCACACATGCGTTGCTCATGAATTTCCTTTTCTGGGACTTACCATTTCAGTTATTGCTGATTAGAAGTTCATTGTCTACATAATAGGCTAGAAGTACAAGTTGGGTCAGTCATTTTAGAATGTTGCCGAGGACTCAAATTCTTCCCACTCTGTTTGTGTTTCCCCTTCCTCTAGTTGTTATGTGTTGTCGAGTCTCCTGGAACCCATATTGACCTTATGTACGGCAGCTCTGAATCCTGCCCTGTCCTGAGCCAGTCTCACTGATTCCGACACACCAACTCCCATTGCCCCAGTTACTGTATCAATCCATCTCCTCCAGGGTCTTCCTTTCCTACAGTGCTCATCCACCTTTCCAAGCATGATGCCCATCTCCAAGGACTGGTCTCTCCTGACTACATGCCCAAAGTATATGAGACAGAGCTTCAGAATCCTAGCCTCCAAGGAGACACTAGGTTTCACCCTCTCTAAGACAGACCTGTTTGTTTTTTTTGTCAGTCTATGATATGTTCAGGACTCTTCTCCAGCATAACAACTCAAAGACATTGATTCTTCTTCTGTCATTTTCACTTAAGCTTGTGAATTCATGACTACACGATGGTTGCAGACCTCTAAATTGCAACAGGAAGTGAGATTAGGAGCAACAAGCCTTTATCCACAAAGCAAAATTCTCCCTTGCTTTTCTCTCACTATCTTTACCTCACTCTACACACTGAAACTGCATCATGGTGACTACGTCTAACTTAGGGACAGGGGAGAAATTATATGGGCAGGAAAGCAGGCGTAGGAATGGTGGTACTCTAGCTACCTTAGATACCAGTCATAATTTTTCTCTCAGGACGAGGCACTTTTCTGTCCCCCCAAAACCTGATTCTGTTAGAAGGAGAGGAAGGAGAGTCAGAACAGTATCTTCAATATATGTGCATATTGAGAAAGAAAGAATATTTTTTAAAGTTAAATATATGAGTAGTTTTGAATTTTTTTAGTTTAATTCTCCTTGTATTTTCTTCCTTTTAACTTGTTCAGTGATGTGTTCTGTGGATTTTTACTCTGTACTAATCTTACTCGTGCTCCGCGCATTGGTCAACTTCAAGGTGAGATCATTCCAACTTCCTTCTACCATCAAGGCCGAGTGATTGACTGCAGGTAACATTTTAAATATTGGAAAACCCAGTGCAACATCAGGATTACAAATGTAGAATAATCAAAAGAGATTCTAATTCTTATACCAGGAGAATGATAGTTTATTATCACTCTTTCGTGCTAGAAATCATTTAAGTAAACAGAGTTGTATATTGGTTATTAAACTACCAAAAAGTTTCTTATTTTCACTAGTTATCAGTGCTTGGGATTTTTTTGATCATCATAATCTTCAGATTAGAAATATAGACTCCCTGGTTACCAGTGATTAAAGTCTTATAAATGTCACTGTGTAAACATTGCATATGTGTTTTACTTTTTTATGAAAAAAGAGTTTATATAGCAAATATCTAATGTAGAAGATTGAATACTCAGTCACATATGGAAAATATTTATCAGAATGTCATTTCTATTAGAGAAACATTTGAGATCCAGTTTTCTACAAGTAAAAGCTCATAAGCTAGGGAGGCATTCTAAAAATAAGCATCTTCCCCTTCAAGGCAGTCATTCTAAGATGTGCTCCCACTCACATGATTCTGTTATTGCTCCGGACACTTTTAGGATTACTCCTACCAAAGCACCTTCAACATTACATTATTATTTCTGGTATTTTCAAAGTAACAAAACATTCATTTTCGGTAATTAAATGTAAGATTTTAAATAATATGAGATTTTATATTTTAGAGTCTCAAAAATATAAAACAATTTTGAACTGAACAATCAATTGAGTAATACTTTCTTGATCATATATTTGCCAACTTTTATCTTTGAAATAGCTCTGAAACAAATTCTGAAAGTAACAGAATTTTAGACAGTATGATGCTTCCTGGAGATAAATTAGTCATTGAGCAGCCCTGTTTAATTGTATTCTAAAGTAGTATATTTCTAAGTGTGCCAACATGATACTCTTTTAATAATTATGCCTCTAATTATTGTTCAAATTCAAGTTCTCACTAATTTTGACATTTTAAAAGTACAAATTAAGAGTAACTGATTTTATCATCAATTAAAAATTCTCAGAAGGGAGTAATAATTTTCAAATGTTTACATTTGTTGTTTCTGCTGTCTTCTTTTTTCCTACCCCTGTCAATCTTAAAGCTGTAGTGAGTTGGTGATATGTTTTCTTCTAATTGTTTAGTTGTAAGCACCCTCCTCTAGCTTAATGTTTGGGAGTTTTAAGATTTACTTTGTACCATGGCATTTTTTTATAATGCAATTCCATAAAATAATAATGAAAGAAAGTGAGTGTCTTTATCATCATCTCTTATTCAGGGGAAGTAACGAAGGGTGAGAAGAATGGGCCCTTGCTAGGAGGAAGTCAGGTCCACAGACCTGAGTGTTACTCCATCTAGCTTGTAATCTTGACTTTCTGTTTCTAAGTATGGTCCCAATGACTGTTTGCATATCTTCTCCTCCTAGTGGTGCTCATGTGGTTTTAGATGACGATACAGATGTGGGATACGTAGAAGATGGAACGCCATGTGGCCCATCCATGATGTGTTTAGATCGGAAGTGTCTGCAGATTCAGGCCTTAAATATGAGCAGCTGCCCACTTGATTCCAAAGGCAAGGTCTGCTCGGGCCACGGGGTGAGTAGGTTTCACTGTTCCAGCCTCCATTTGCCGCTATGAACATGATAAAAGTTCATCGTGGTTAAAGTTTTGACTCAGTCTCTGCTTTCTGGGACTTTCCTAGTATCTGTGCACTAACATTCACTGTCCTTATCTGCCTAGAAAAATAGCCAAACGTGTTGTTAATGATTGCATATTTAGTTATTTTTTTGTTATTTCTTTTATTGTTGATTAATGAAGAAGTTGAATGAAAAGTGATATGATTCTTAAACTATAGATTTCATGTGGCTAACTTGATTCATCTAAGACAGATTTGTTTATTCTTTTGCCAGTCCATGGAGTATTCAGTACTCTTCTCCAACATCACATTTCAAAGGCATCAATTCTTCTGTCATCTTTATTGACCTACCAACTTTCAGATGCATAGAAAGCAATTGATAAGTCCATGGTTTGAATCAGGTGTTTATAAACTGACATCTTTGTTCTTTATGAGGTCCTTGGCAGCAGATTTTCCCCAATGAAACACCTTCTTTGTATTGGGCTTTGTATTGTAAGTACAAAAAGTCTTATCTTAGAGGAAGTGCATCCAGGCTGCTCCTCAGAGACAAGGATGGTGAAATTTCGTATCATGTACTTTGAGCATGTTGTAGAGAGGAGCCAATGCCTGGAAAAACATATCATGCTTGAAAAAGAGAAGAAGAACCTCAACAAGTTGGACTTAGCACAGCGATTGTAAAAATGGACTCAGTCATATTCAAAGTCATGAGGATAGTGCAGTTTGGGACAAACTCAGAGCTGTTGTTCCTAAGGATGCTATGAGTCATAATTGACAGACTCTAACAGCAACAACTTCTTATGCTACATGTGTCACAACATTTGCCAAACAAACATTGTTGCATGTGTAATTTAATGATGCAGTTACACTCAAAGTAACTTTTAAACCCTATTAGTAATTGACCTTCAAGTGCTTACCATGTACTTTGAATATCTGTACATACACAAGAGAACATTAAACAAGATGTTTAATCCTAAATATAATTCACATGTTGAAGGTTGTTCAATGATGCTTGGACCAGCATCAGCCAAATCAAAGATGTTTTCCTTTATTACACCTGTATATATATTTATTTTCCTGACTATATATATTGGACAAGCTAGACTTAATTGACAAGCATGAGCTTAATATCAACAGGCAAGTTTTAACAATTTTTTAAATTAGACTCAGCAAAAAGAAAGTATCTCAAAATTTATGAAGATGTTAGAAATTATAAAAGAGATGTAAGGAATGAAGGGGAGTAATATAAAAAGAAGTTCTGGAATGAAGGTGAAACAATCCAAGACTTAAGGCATATGACATGGAAGGAGCTCTGGTGCCTAGCGCCCAGGAGGCTGTGCTGGTGGCTCAAAAGCCTCACCTCTCTGACTGTTTGATTCAGCCAGAACTCCAAGGAAGAAAAACATACAGTCTCCTGCCATGTGATTTACAGCCACCAGAACTCAATAGAGGGTTCTCTATGAGTGGGGTTTGACTTGACAGAAATTAGTGAGTAGTGTTGGGGTAAAATAAATGGAAACATTTAAATAAATAGCTTGTATGTATCTTTATAAAGAGGAATGTGGCATCAGGATTGGAGGAAGACTCATCAACAACCTATGTTATACAGATGACACAACCTTGCTTGCTGAAACTGAAGAGGACCTGAAGCACTTGCTACAGAAGCTTAAGGACTGTAGTCTTCAATATGGATTGAAGCTTAACATCAAGAAGACAAAGATTCTTACCACTGGGCCAGTTGGCGGCACCATGATAAATGGAGAAGAGATTGAGATTGTTAACAATTACAGCTTGCTTGGCTCCACAGTCAACATTCTTAGCACCAGTAGTCAGGAAATAAAAGACAAATTGTGTTGGGGAAATCTGCTGTCAGGGACCTCTTCAGAAAGTTGAAGAGCGACATTGTCAGTCTAGAGACTAAGATGTGCCTAATCCAGGCCATGGTCTTTGCAATTACTTGCTATGCATCAGAGAGCTGGTCGATGACTAAGGATGACAGAAGAATTGATGCCTTCAAATTGTGGTGCTGGAGAAGAGACTTAAACATACAGTGGACTGCCAGGAAAACAAATAGGTCTGTCTTGGAGAAGGTAAAACCAAGTTTCTCCTTGGAGGCTGGGATTTTGAAGCTCTATCTCACATACTTTGGGCATGTGACCGGGAAAGACTGGTCCTTGGAGAAGGACATCATGCTCAGTAGGGTGAAAGGACAGCACAGGAGAGGAAGACCCCAGATGAGATGGATTGATACAGTGACTGGGGCAATGGGGGTTGGATTGTTTGGAATTAGTGAGACTGGCTCAGGGCAGGGCAAGGTTCAAAGCTGTTGTACATAGGGTTGCTGTGGGTTGCAGGTGACTCAAAGGCACATAACAGCAACAATAACATGTAAATATCTTGAGTTTTGGCTTTGATTGAAGCATAGGCTCATAGGGGATGCAGTATTGACTAGTAATTCTCATCTAAACTCATTATCATTGAGTCAGAACCAGGTCATAGCTTGTCTTCTAGCAGGTGTTTGGAGGCTGTAAATGGCATAGAAGGTGACTTCCTATCTTTCTTTTCTTTTTTTGTTTACATTTTATTTATTTTTTTTAAATAATTTTGAT